CTTAATGCTTTAATTTAATAATTTTCCATTTATTTATTTTGAATTTATGCAATATACTGGAGCCATAATTCACGTAATTGTAATTTCTGGGCAGGATTATGCTAAATTATGAATGACGACAAACGTACCCGAGACACAAATGATTAGAATTCATTAGCATATACTATATATATATATATGTGTGTTTAACTATCAAATCAGAGGTTTGTGAAATGTTTAGCCCATTTTACGGACAAATTACATCAAATGTACTCATGTTTTCATGAATGAGGCTCAATGAAAGTGAATGTGTGCAGGGGCTGTCAGGCTTTAAAAAGAACAATAAAGCACCATATAATATGAACTGCTGTTATGATATGACTTGTGCACTATATTACAAGCATTTTGAAGCCATATGATAATTCTGTTTGAGAAAACAGAGTTAACATGTAAGCTGTGTATGCCACATGGCACATCTGTCCCCATTCACTTTAATTGTATGGAAAAGAGAAGCTCAAGACAGTACGCCAAAATTTCTCCTTTTGTGGTTCATGGAAGAAAGCAACTCATACGGAATGACAAGCAGGTGCGTAATTGTTATTTTTGGGTGAACTATTGTGTTAACCGTGAGACCGTGACATACACACAGTAAGGCACAAAGGGATAAAACAGGGGGAGTTTATGGTTTGGCATCCTCCACTCTGTCTCATTTGCTTTTTATTCACGCAAACACTCGGAAACTCAAAGTCTCACAGAGTACTCATACACTTCAGCACACTTTGGGGAAAAGTGCAGCAGTACTGATGCACAATAAAAGGCTCGTTCACGGGGCAGGCAGCTTGTTCTGTCGTCTAGTTTAAGGCTGAATGGGCGAATCCGCCCAACTTTGTGCTTTTCGATGGAGCTTTGATTTTTGCTATGGAAACGTGCTCTCTACACACTCACAAACACGCATATAAACACTCTCAAATGATTCTTCGCTAAGCCCCGACCTTAGAACATCACCGACCAATCCAATCTTAGCAGCTGTTGCTGTTTATAAACCATCAAATGAGACTTCTGTTTATTTTGTTTCATTTTAATCCATACTTTTATTCAGCAAGGATGCATTAAATTGATCAAAAGTGACAGTAAAGACATTTATAATGTTCCAAAAGATTTCTGTTTCAAATAAATGCTGTTCTTCTAAAATATTGTGCAGCACAGCTGTTTTCAACATTGATAATAATCAGAAATGTTTCTTGAGCAGCAAATCAGCATATTATACTGATTTCTGAAGATCATGTGACACTGAAGACTGGAGTAATGATGCTGAAAATACAGCTTTGATCACAGGAATAAATTACATTTAAATATATATTCACATAGAAATAGTTATTTTAAATTGTAATAATATTTAACTATTTTTATTGTATTTTTGGTCAAACAAATGCAGCCTTGGTGAGCAGAAGAAATCTTCCTGACTTCAAATGGAACAGTAGTGCAAATAATTTCCTTGAAAGAAACAGCACATTCTTTCATCACAATTCTTTCCAGTCCATGTATTAATACCATTAAACCAAATTGTATCCCTTTAAGAAATTTGCATGAACGTTATTTTATAAAGCCTGACTAAGCAAGCAACGTTACACAGAGGGGGCGGAGCTTAGTGAAGTATCGATTATGTGCACTAGAAAACACTATAAACGTAACATCCGTGTGCGTAAATGCCAGCTATTGTGTAATTCTGCACAAAGACAAACAATTGGCTATTTTAGTGCAGTGAGCAACATGGAAGTGCGATTTAAAGGCTTGGCGCCAGGTGGCAGTAGAGAGCGCATAGCATCGACATGATTGACAGGTAGAAAAGGGCAAATCCAGCCAGCTGGGAAGAAGGGGCGGAACGAAAGGGAGGCGGTGCCAGAGAGAGCAAGGCCTCAACCAGCCTAAACACACAAACCACCTCCCCTTTTAGGACGTCACCCGCTGAACACAAACTATCCTGCCCGCAGAGCCAAGACGAGGAGGAAAAGGAGCGTTCAAATAAAACACAATGAGGGGTTGATGGTTTTAAATTGGAAGGGAATGGAGGGAGAGAGAGAGAGAAAGAGTTAGTAGTATTAGCGATTAAACTTGAAGGCACTAGAGGAAGCAGCAAGAGATGCTAGGTTTGAAGCAAATATGAAACGGAGACGTTTTTTCTTAATTTGTTTTTAAAGAATACCTGAGGAACTCCAATTCTGCGGCAGGCCTCTAGGAAGTTCTCTACATTACGTCGACACTTGGCCATCGTCAGTTTGGGCTGGAAGGAAAGAAAACATGAAGCCGATGCAATCCTATGCACGTACACAAACACTAAAATAAACCCAGAAAGTGTCTCACCACTGCCGGTGAGGGTACATGGATGCTCGGTATGGATCGGGGACGCACGTGGTTGGCCAGATGGCACAACACGACCCCGTCAGTCAAAGCTGCCCCAAGATCACTGGGTAAGGACACCTTGAGTCGACACTCGATATTCTACAGGGTTGCAAAATAAGACTTACAGCAGAAATAATTTGTAAAAAAAAAAAATTATGTATATGTGACCCTGGACCACAAAACCAGTCTTTAGCAATAGCCAACAATACATTGTATGGGTCAAAATTATAGATTTTTCTTTTATGCCAAAAATCATCAGTATATTAAGTAAAGATCATGTTCCTTGAAGATATTTTGTAAATTTCCTACCATAAACCCATCAAAACGTAATTTTTGATCAGTAATATGCATGGCTAAGAACTTCATTTGAACAACTTTAAAGATGATTTTCTCAATATTTTGATTTTTTTGCACCCTCAGATTCCAGATTTTCTAATAGTTGTATCTCAGCCAAATATTGTCCGATCCTAACACAACATACATTATTTACAGATGATGTAAAAATCTCAATTTTGAAAAATTGACACTTAAGACTGGTTTT